GGATCTGATATCTTTAGAAAATAGTTAGAAGCGTTAAAACTAGTTAATCAATTATGAAATGTTATGGCTATTTAATTACGGATAAAATATTCGTTCTCAACATCATATCTGAAATGTTACTGTTTACAAACGACGGTGCGTAAAGCTATAATTTGGCTTTGATGTTGAACTTTATGCACAAATTTGATRTAGGTGTGTCGTTCGTCTACTTCAGATTATAGCATATGTAACCATCTTTGCTTAAATTAAATGAACATGAAACACAAAACGTGAACTACATAATTATCTTGATTTAACAGAATAAGAGCGGTCTGCGCATTTTACGATTTTTTTTTGATAAAACTGAAAATATACTCGCATTCAATTTTATTTCTAAACAATACGATTTATGATTTTTAATTCTGAAGACCCATTTTCAACATCGACACGCTGCAATGGCATGAAAAATCCATGAACTTTTTATGGTCGAAGAGTGGAAGTAACAAAGGGGGCAAGTGGTTGCCTTTATTAAAGCGCCTAACTTGTTCCTTTGCGCATTTTTTGAATTATCTTCAAACATACACTTTGGCACCTGCCCCTTTTGTTACTTCCACTATTCAATCACAAAATCGTTGAAAACATGACAAACAAACCCGTTTTAGATAGCCAAATACCAAATATACGATGAAAAGCGGCGGCACAATGATTGATTAGCATTTTTTGAAATAGGTGAAGGCACCAATACCAAAGAGTAATTAGTATTTAGTTTTGGATGGAAGAAAATTCCAATTTAAACTTAGTTTTAAGGTATCTACTAGAGGGCGCTGTGTATGCTATGCTGTTTGATTATTCTGCATCAAAACTTTTAAATCGAAAGCTATGTAGCGATTTTGAATAACACATTTGCACGATTGATTGTTTTTAAGATAAAATTATATACCTGTTTCTTTTTTATAAGCTCGCCCATTTCCAAAACATTGCCAAATTAAGAAATCAACGATCACTAAGACTCTATTTATTTTTAAAATTTTCACCGAGTTTAGAGTTCGACCATATGAATTGCCAGCTGATAAATATTATTACCTAAAAAGGCATCATGGAAAGATCCAAGTCTCGATCTAGAAGTTTTGCAGGTTTTTTCGGCAAAATAGTCATGCTCAGACCAAGAACACCTTCCGGAAACCCCGCTTAAATTTGACCCATCCAATTCAAATCCCCGTTCAACTTCTTCGTGTGTGGAAGGGTCCAATTCGAAAATACTGTCCGACCTTGTCATATCAGTTATAAGCCAAGGACCTCCGGCTCTAAAATAACAAAAATACATAGAAAAATAGTAAGTAAATGTTTACTACGCCATACGCTGGTGATCTTCGAAGAATATCTAAAATTCCAGATCCATTCCACTGCTGTGTAGCTTTCAGTTCATCAGTACAAATTCCGACAATCTGCACAAAATTGACTGTTCCAAACGGAGTTTCTGTCGTATTAAGCTGTGGATCTGTAGTCATTAACATGTGTTGAATCCTTGATTCGCTATTGTCAAGGGCACAATGCCAGGAGACGTGATCACTTGAACATAGCGAATTTCCTAAAATGAACCCTCATACTGAACCAAATGTTTGCACATTTATTTAAACTAACTAGCTCTCAAAAACGCTACAGACAATTTTACTATTTGTGACTATAAAAAACAGTTAGAAACTTTGTGGTGTATTTTACAAAAGGACTAACTGCGTTTTTTAAACGTATTGCACAAGTGAAACATTCAAACTGCGTACCTGACTGGAAAACATATTTAGCTAAAGATTGCATTAGTGTTGCCGGCCAAGTTGGAGGCGACGTTTCTCCGGGCTCCCGTTTTAATCTAAATGTTAGCTCGAAGCCAAATCCGGAAGCTCCGTCAGGTCCCGATGGATCATGTACCCGACCATCGCCATGAAGATCGGAAAGACCAAAGCTAATGTAGTGCCAATGAGGTGGAACATTTTCATCTGGATTTCCTGGGTTAGAGTACATCGAAATGTAGTCCAGCGGATCAGGACCTCCCAACCTATATTTTCAATTGGACATAAATACCTAAGGCTAAGACGACTAGGAAGTACAGCGGGAAGAAGGATGCGTCAGTGATAGTTAAACTTTGTAGCCACTAACTTGCTTTTATTTTGTTAAAAAATAAATAAATAATAAATATTTTACATCGAAATAGCAGAATTAACTTTTATTTAACAGATTATGGGCCCAGGTACTTTAGCCCTGGTTTAAAAGTCCTTTTGTCGCGTTTTGTGTATAAGAAGTAAACAATGAAACCAATAAATTCTAAAAGACGACCGAAACGGCCATAGAAGTCGCACGCAGAAAGTTCCACCTATACAGTAGCCATTTGTGAACAATTATTTGCTAAATTATATTTATTTGAGACTTAACTGTAGAATCAATCTAATTTTTTGTTCAAACAATGAAAACTATCTAAAAGCTATTGAAGTGCTCACTAATTTTATGGAAATTATGAATATATTGGAAATTGGCATTAAGAAATTATGGACATTTTATCAAACCAGAATTTTAATTTCTACGAAATCGATTTTAGACATTCAAAAACTTTTGTTGGAGGAAAATGGCTATAAATTTGTGGACTGAACGATTTTCACAAGATTGTTTGGAAAGTATTTTTAGTGTTTTGCCGAGTAAGCAAGTAACTCTTCAATGCTCTTCAGGTTAAAAATAATGTGTAACTCATTTGTGTTTCACAATATTTATGTGTGTCCGAAAGATTCCAGCTATGATGAAGATTACAGGGAATTTTTCAGATTTCTTAAGCACGATCTCCAGCAAAACAACCCTTTACGATTCCGTAATAATACCTGAAAACATTCCCCGTGATTTTAATATCAATTTTAGTGAGATTAATTCATTATACTATATAGCCGGATATATTATTTGCTCCATAAAACGCCAATCAAACAGTTGTAATCAATGTACATATTCGGAATCTAAGGATCTAAAGAACCCCAGCTTAAACACTTCAGCAAGTTTAGTCAAATTAAATGTTATAGAAATAGTACCTACTTTTTTCTCCATAAACATGTACTCCATTTTTTTTTTGTTGAAATGGAAAGAATTTTAAGAAAATGTTATGAAATTGTATGTACTCAAAATGTACATTTAAAGTTGATTTTTGTATCGTAAATGACTCAAATCGAACTAGAAGTGCCTACATGCCATAGAAACAAAGATAACGTTATGAGCAGATATGCAGGTAGTTTTTAGGTTAAATATTTCTAGTAAAAAAGGGCCCAGTTAAGCCAGAGACATGCTAGTAAGTCTATTTTTTTTAGTTTATGCGAAAGTTTACATTTACATTTCACACCTAAATTTACAATTTGAAGTGTTAAATAATTTCTTATATACTGAATTTTTTAAGCCTAATGATTTTCAATCGTACCTAACTAATTATAAATTGCATTAAATATTATTTACATTAATGTGTCGGTGACATTAATTTACATTAATGATTACTTACATGTATGTACTTATTAAAATATGTACATTTTTATTAATACATTATTAGTTTTACTTATTCCTATAGAATTTGTTTGATTTCAGTTTAAGAATAAATAAAGCATAGTTAATTAAAGATCTTAAGTCTTAAGAGTTGACTTACATCACAAAATAGAAGATAAACGTCACAGATCATCATACTTTTATCCTGTATCTTAATAACAAAAAAACACCTTGTATAGTAATTAGTAGATAGTAGTAATTAACAGTTTAACAGATGCATGTTTTTATTGAATAAAGCAAAATAATGTGTTAATATTTCTGTTTTAATACCTGGAACATTACTCAGTAATAGGTACAAGTGGGTCTATTATAGACTTGCTTCAAAAAAAACGTTTGATTTAGAACGAGGAACAAACAAGACTGAAAACCTACAGCTAAACTGCATTTCCATTGCACAGAACAATTCCTATCAAGTGCTAAATTGCATATCGATTCCGCTGTCTGAACTCTTGTCCAGAGGCATTTTATAGAGAGGAAACTCATCTTTAAAGCTGGTTTCTAATTTAATCCCAAAATGTTTTATATCATAGCAATCATTTCCAATTAAAACTTGGACTTGAGTCATACAGATCACAGTAAAGATCCGTTGGCGCCAAATAGATTCACCGCATAATTGCGAATGAGAGGAGCTAAGGTCCTATTGATGCCACTGTCTTTTAGACAGTCACTGTAGTCAAGACCACATAGATTCTTTGAGAAAGATTCATTGAAACAAACAATAAATAATGCGGATATATTTTCATGCTTGCTAAAGGCCCAACCACAGGGAAGTCAGACACGATCTCCCAGGTGTTGGAATCGAATCCAAGAAATTAGACGTTCAACTTCAAGAATAAAGATACTCGTTAAACATCAATCAGCAATTAAATTGAGCCAGGCACATAGAACGCCATGACACAGTTGAAGGTCACAGTGTCGCGACGTTAGTGTCACATATGAAAATGAAGGCCGGTTCAGACGGTGATATCGATGTCATGGCACCAGGTGTTCACACTCTCTAACACATAGTGTCGCGACAGGCTCTTGTCAAAATGGCGGAACTCCTGTCTGCAGTATCCGATGTGTTAAAAGAAGTAATTATTTTGAAATTAAGACGAAAATTTAAAAAACACATATGGATGAAACATTGGATTATGCGTAGAAGCGAGCTAGGGGCATCAAAAACCACGTTTTCAAAGTTAAAAATATTTAGAAGCGCTTCTTCTGCTTAGTCAAGTTTTTGTCTATCCTTATAATCGGCAATTGATTTGTCCCATAGAGATGGGTATGATTGGTAATATTCCCGAAATATAATCAAGTCAAAGGGAACATAATTTAAAACCAAACCAAATGAAAATAACACACCAAGGATTGATAGCCTTTAAAAAATGTAAAAATATCACCTGAAACATCGGCAGTGTCACGATGTCGCATGACTACCGGCGGTGGCGCTGCCAAACGTCAAATTACTCTTTGTCGAGTGACAGTTGAGAATTATCAGACTTGTTTATTTATTTATGACATTTAAGCAATAAATAAATTATAACATAAAAACTATAATAACAAACGGCTAATATAAATCTAGGCGAAATATATATTTTTATAATCAAGAAAATAAATCATATTGGTATGTCTAAAAATATATAGGGTGTTTTATAAAAAAAAAGACTGTTAAATTTTGAAATTCCGTGATTTATGTCTTTTATTTTAAATTGAGATTTAAAAATATTGAGCACAATTAAGCAATTTTTGTGTTGGTCACTTTCACATTTTTTTTTAAATAACCGATCAACGGAGGGTGTCAAGTTATGAGGCAACACCCTGTACAATGTACTAAGATACAGGGAGTTCCATTAAAAAATAAGTATTGTTCCATCTTTCCACAATCACAACCAACGTAAAAAACAAAACAATTTATTGCCATTTAAACCAAAACTCTATCGCCGCTAATAACAAAGTTATTAATGGTCAGCACTTAATTTGGTAGACCGGTATTTAATGAATCCCGGATAATTAAGTATGTCTAAATCAAGAAATCCAACATTCAGTAAAATCTGATGAGTAAGTAGATACTTAAATATTCAGACAGGATATGAACCTAAAAATAGCACCCTAACAGGAAATGACCTATACATACTGACAACGAACAAGGGGAGCCCAAAATAGAAAATGGAAAATATTTGTACAGGGTTGGTCCGTATATTTAGCCAGCTTCTGGTTAGTTTATTGTCAGAAGTACGAAAAAATCCTAAATGCAAATGTTGAAAGGCTACTCTTGAAGCACAAAAAAAATTATTAGATACTTAAAAAAAAACATGGCAAATTGAAAATATATATGTTTTAATAGAACACCCTGTATATTTTTGGACTAGTGGATAGACTCTTTCTTCTTATTTCAGAAATATATTGAAAAAACTTTTAAACATTTTTTGTAAAATTCACATTTATCTGCGTCTCTATATGTCTTTGATAAATCTTGTGGTTAAAATATACGAACAGTTTTGCATACATGTGGTCATCGCCCTTATAAAATGTAACTGATGCTAAAATTGGCGGACAATCACAAAATTAGATGACTTTCTTATTGCAATAATGTGTTACCTAAGAAAACTGTATACAATGACTTTTGTAATAAAATATTGTGGAACGATAAGACCACTTTCACAACTGCCGGAGTGCACAACGGTCGCGGTCATACATTATTAAACGTTTGGAATGCGATTTTTAGGAACCGAATAATTGGATGCATTATATTCGAAGGCTCTTAAAAGAAAATCGATACCTATAGTTTCTAAAGAATAAACCGAATGGGTTGTTTTGTAATCCTTTATTGAAGATGCGTTGAATATGAAAATGGACACTTTTAACGTTGTAAATTTTGAATCTGTAAATTTCTTATTAATGTTCTTATGTTCTTTTGTTTCATCTAATAACATTTTCTGGGGATTTAAAAGTAACCCTTTAACTTTTGTACTTGGAACTTTTGCATACCTCTATAAACTCGACACATAAGTAGTCTAAATTTACGAACCAACCCTATACATTGTTCTAAAGATTTTAAGGAATAAAGTAGTAAAATGTACATACCAAAATTTCAACAAAGCAGTAACTTGTAAAGGGTTTGCTTGATCAGGATAAATTTTCCTGCACAGATTGTAGAGTGTTTCCAAACCGGCCGGTGTCGGAGGCAGCATGTTAATTGGATGGGGATGATGACTGAGTACTGATGCTTCGCCCATTTTATAAAGGAAAATCTACAATTGAACACAGGATTTCATTATCATGTTAATTAATTAATAAAGTGCCATATTTAGTGCTATAAGAAGTGCAATTAGTTTACTCACTTACGGTAAGGCCAACCAAATATAATATATTTGAAAATCGTTACTTTTTGTACTTTTTATTCCACCGAAAAAAAGTACAAAATATAAACAAAAAAACACACACTGGAACAAAACGTCACGTGTGACAGACACAGATTATCAAACTATTTAGATAGGCGACTGCCGTGTTTTCGACAAATCGCATTCAGTGGCGTCACCAGCAACACGGGCTGGTGATTAAACCGCCCAAATTCAAATGTTATTCAAGTTAATTTATCATTAAAAATACCAAAAAATATTTTTTTTTAAATGGCACCTACTATTTTTGTTGGTCCTGTGAGATATTTAAACAAAACCAAAAAAAGTTAGTACGTGCCATTTAAACAAACTGATTTTTTTTTAACTTTTTATATCAATGTTTGTAGGCTGCAAGCACCCAAATATTACAAAATTGGTACATCAAAGCCATCTGGGCCTTTAGCATGGGCTTTCGGCTAACCACCTACCAAATTTGGATAAAACAGCTTTGTTAAAGCCTACATAGCTGATAAAAATATAACCACAACTACTATTTTCAAAATAATTTTATAACAATGGGACAATTTAAAAATGTCATATTTGTTCTCCCTTTCTTTATCCATGTGTGGGTTCTTTTAAGAAACGCTCAAGATGTCTTAAAAAAAAAGAAAAAGGAAACTTGGTTTTCAGGTTTAAAAAATTCAAAAATTTCATATTAAGCTTCTCAAAAATTTAAATTTTCTTGATCGGCACTTTATTCGCGAGTTCAAACGCTGAAGTGGCTAAAATTATAACTACAAATTAACTAGTAATTTGACACTTGTTTTGTTGACATTGGTGAATGATCAACTTTAGCTTTTAAAGAAATAGAAACAGATCGAAAAACGTGTAGGCTTTCGTAACCAAACATATTGTTTTATGTTATAGATGTCATCAACTCCAATAAATAAACAAGTCTGACAAGTATCATATATATATACAGGGTGGCCATTTTATGAATCTTTGTATGACAAGCGTCTACGTATACGGCAGTTCTTGTCACTACTATCGATTGCGGCGATTCGGACCTAGCGGTTTGTTATGATTTAAGACGATTTAAGGTTAGGTGATTTTTCCTGGTATTTTGTTGTAACCGTAATCTCTTTGGATTTTATTAATATAGTGTTGGACTTTGTTTAACATGTCACACTAAGCAACACATGAAAATAATTGCCTTTTTCCACTATCCTAACAAAAGTGGAAGACCAACAACGTAGTGCGACCTTTTAGTAGGTAGTACATACTATGTAAATTCATTTCATTATTTCAGGCATATAAAATACTTGGATTTGTAATCAGAAATTTTAAATATTTTAGCAATAATACAATATTGTTTTTATAAATGTTTAGTATTTAATGTGATAAGCACTCTAACTTGTTATTACAAACAGGGTGATATTTATTATAAGTTTTACCGATAAATAAATCTATGCAATGTATTTGCTAATTTGAAAACTATCCATATAAATGTATCGATGTATGTAAGGATATACAATAAGTCAAATGATATACAACTGTCAAATATACAATAAGTCAAACTTTTAAAGATATTTATTTAATGGTTTAAGTTGTTTATTTAAATACTATGAATACGAAATCTGATACCTTATTAAGCTATATAAGCTGATCAGAATAAATCATTTGTAAATTATTAATAATTAATCATCAATTTAAAAATAATAATAATTATCTCATAATTATCAGTCTTTCTTTGTGCTAATATAAAGACAATGCTATTATTCCAACAAATTCATTTTCTCCCAACAAATTCAAACAATCCCTCTTAAAAAATTATAAATTGTTATAAGTTTGTCATTTTTATCTAGAGCTTATATAGGGTTCGAAAGTCACGAGAGAATGAAAAAAAAATGATTGGTGGACTCGCGGTTGTTCTCGACAATTTATCTCAACAATTTCTCGACAATTTATAAAATAATTATCATCAAAAAATAAACAAAATCACCTAACCTGAAATCGTCTTAACTCATTTGTGGAACTTGTCAACGATACGTTCGATAACGACAAACCGGTAGGTTTATTTGATTGGTTCGAATCGCCGCAATCGATAGAAGTGCCAAGAAGTAGACGTAGACGTATACGTAGACGCTTGTCTTTGTATGGGTAACTTTTACATTTTTAAAGATAGAGAATCCGTTAAATGGGTAAAATTGGGCAGATTTCGATTGCCTATTCATTACCGTTTTCAAAATTTAGGTACCCAACTTGGTTCCGGAAATATTCTGAAAAGGCAAGAAATCAATACTTTTTTAATTATCATATAATTCGTAAACTGCTCAAATTAGAGAAAAAGTTAAAATTGTCTTTGGTAGAACTTTTTGCGTTGAACTCAATAAACTAGCACTTGTTGTCATAGTCAACTTGATTTACGAGATAAAAAATAAACTTATGTTTTTCTAAATGGTAATCCTTATTCTTTTCTGAATTTAACGATATAACTGTTTGTATGTTTTTCTCCTTTTGTTGCCGTAAAACTTCAAAAGAAGATAAAAAATTGTAGTGGGCTATGGAAATAAGAACTATATTAGCATACAAAGCACAAAACAAAAATGAAATAATTAACAGACAATCATGTTTACTGGGCTAATGAAAATCATAATCTAATTGAAAATAGGCGAGATCAACGTGTTTTTTTTGTGAATGTCTGGTGAGGCATTTTTAGTGATAAAATTATTGGTTCATTCTTTTATAATCACAATTTAAATATGGAAAGATATTTACACTTTTTACCAAATGAACTTGAAGACATGTTGAATAGTTTTCCGTTAGCATCGTATCGAAAATTGGGATATTTTCAAGATGATAGTGCACTTTCACACAACTCACGAGTTGAATGTGAAGATGCCAAAAAATGCCTGGACGTAAACGGAAGTCAATTTGAACATTTAGTTTAAACGATTCATTATTTCATTTCTGTTTTGTGCTTTGTGTGATAATATAGTTCATATTTCCATAGCCTACTACACATTTTTTATCTTCTTTCGAAGTTTTACGGCAACAAAAGGAGAAAAACATACAAACAATTATATCGTTAAATTCAGAAGAAAATAAGGATTTTGAAAGGCCCACAGCCAACTATGATTACCATTTAAAAACCATGTTTATTTTTTATCTCGTAAGTTGACTGTGACGAGTGCTAGTTTGTTGAATTCAACGCAAAAAGTTGTACTAAGGGCAGTTTTAACTTTTTTTCTAAGTTAAGCAGTTTACGTAATAAATGATAATTTAAAGTGTTGATTTCTTGTCTTTTCAGGATATTTCAGCAACCACGTCGGGTACTTAAATTTTGAAAACGGTAATGAATAGGCAATCGACTTCTGCCCAATTTTTCCCATTTAACGGATTCTCTATATTTAAAAATGTAGAAGTTACCCATACAAAGATTCAGAAAATGGCCACCCTGTATATAGTATAAAATGCAGGCAATTTAAACATTAAATAAAAATATATTCTTTCAAATATGAAAGTTTGGGCATTTGGGAGGAATACTGTAAACTTCGCATTTATGCACATAAGTATTGGATCAAGTATGCTTAAAAATTCCGGTGTACAAAATTACAAAAAAATTGCACGCAATCCTCTGAAATATTGGGTTGTTACGGAATTTTTGAATAACCCTGTAGAATGCAAATAACTATTCATCCAAAATATTAAATGCTTACTTATTATGACCCGCTTTTAATTTAAAACGTTTTAAAGAAAAATCTGATTAAAAAACTTTTCGTTTCGATCAGAAATTAATATCAAAAACCCCACTGTGCGTAGACGTAACTTTTTTATGATCTTTCAAAATCCTGGATTCGCCACTGGTACTGCCTGCATAACTGGTGGGATTCCCTGTATAATAACATTAAACCGTAAAATCTCGTCAAAATAAATAGCGAGTCAAAAACAAATCTCAACAGATAAATATATTCATGTGTTTACATATAAGAAGCGACGAAAATATGTATTAAGTTGAAAATTATGTTTGTTATACCTACATACTTTCAACATAATGATTAGCGTAGCGACATTTAAAACCAAACTATAATCAACTTTGAGGATATAAACACAATTGCAATCCATTAAAAAGTTAAATTCATGACATTTTTAGGAAACACTAAGGACTTGAATATGCTACTTCTATGTGAAACCTTCGGTCTATCAACATTAGCGACTTTCTCTTTAATATCTGATCGAGACAAATCACCTCTTAAATTTAGCAGCCTTAGCAGTTGGTCCTCTGTGATGTCTGGGTATTTTTCCAGCACTCTGTGCAATTCAAAGGAAATCATATCATCATCGCTTTTGATCACCTCTGACAACATGACGATTGCTTCAAATTCATCATCATCCTTCATTTCTGTATTTCTGCATAAGTTAGAGAATAAATTAGTTAATCGGTCCACTTCTTTCTCGATTTTGCCAGCAGCTTTCGTGCAATCTTCAAACGTTTTAAAAGATACCCTTCTTGATAACATGGCGGTCAAATATCTCTTTGCTACGGTATATCTAGCCTGTTCGGCTATGAAATTATAATTGGCTTCAGCGAGTCTATTATAATCTTGAAAATAGTCTTCTAATGTGGCGTAAATTGTTTCCAAAGAATCCAAACTGGTCAACCACTGGGAGTTGAGCAATTTCTCAAAGTGCTGATCTAAGTCGATAAATAGCTCTTCCAAAAGAAAATTACCTGCCTCATTTCTCAATTGAATATACGTTCCTCTAAGTCTATTAAAATTATCACCTACATGGGTGGCAAATAAACTACTAGAATATTGCTTCTCCAAGTGATTTCCCAATTCCACAAATTGCAAGCAATGATTTACAATAATTATCATATACTGCGTGAAATACAGAACTTGTTTGCGGTCCTCAAAATACTTATTTTTAAATTCTATAATTGCATCTCGGAACGAATCTCGGAATTTTATGACCTGTTCTACACTGAGAATCAACATTTTCAATGTAATTTCTTCACTAATGGTTTTTGCCACATCAAGATTCTGATTTATCATCTGGAAAATTATTATAGGCGCAGCTGTTCTTGTATAGCAATCCGAGTCTGGTGCTACTGACGACCTCCATTCTTCCCTTTCAGATTTTAAAGCATTCTGCATCCATTCGATGTAGTTACCTTCGATGTCTTTTAAGTAACACGCAATTAACCTTTCCAATAAGGCAGGCGGTAATAAAGGTCCCAAATTTTTAGTGAATTCGACCAAATCAGGATGGCTCAGCATTTCTTCCGAATGATAAGTTTTGAAAACCATAGACAGCATGGTAACATATTCGTTTCCTTCCAGTCCATTTTGGATGATCTCCTGAAGATGAACAGATAAAGATTTGTGGTACATCGTGACATATCTTTCCACTATTTTATATTCTGGGGGAAAACAAGGCTGACAGAGGGTTTTAACTACGCGCAAGTCTTCTGAAATCATTTGTCGGATTAACTCCAAATATCTAATCAACCAAAGTTTATTGTCTTGTCTTTCTTCCACCTGAGTGCCCTCAATTCTGGATTCAACTGATCTTTCCAAAATATTAAATGCCATCTGTTTCCACCTTTTGGGTCTGCCCGGGGGCACAAATCCTGTTTGTTTTTCCTGCTTCAAAGCCATCTCATCTGCCTTTTCCTCCCTTTTAATGATCCTCAAAACCGTTACTAATTCCGCAGGATTTTTTCTTACAGTATTTAGTGTTCTTGACAATACAAAAAGTAGTTGCTTTTCTAGTAACGTAGATAATACTTCTACTTCAGAGAAATAGGCTTTCAGTAGAGATTTATCATGTGGGGATTGATTAGGCAATTTATGAAGTTCAAATAATAAATCATCTCTCGAATTTTCCAGGTCTCTCAAACACTGATGGGTATGTAAAAGCTTACCCTCATTAATCCATTGTTTCGTTTTCTCCACACTATCAGGCACAGTGAATATATGCTTCAGATTTTCTCGGGCAGTAACATATTGTGAGTGTCTCATGTTCTCATCTCGCACATCACTCAAAGACTCAAAGAGACGTGTTACTTCACTGAATAAGTTAAAAGTAATCTTAATGTCGCTGTTGATTTCCTTGGATTGCTCTAAACACGAATGTAATTGGTTGATCCCTGTTCTCACGCCATCTAGTTGTTGCTGCATGGCTGATTTCAATAATGCCTCAACAGAGCCTTTCTTTCGAGTGAACCTTTGTTTAATCTGATCTATTTTATCTAACTGACCGGGCCTATTAAACATGTTTATGATTTTTGCGGTGGCGGAGGCCTTTGCAGTGCTCTCCCACTCTCTCATATTCAAACCACGACTTGAACTCATCTAGAACATAGAAGAATGCGATTTACCACTGTGGGTACAGATTTTTGAATATTACTTACCTTTCGTACTATTGCGAGTTTCGAAATGTAAAATAAGGCAAATTTTGTTTACATTCAGAAAGACATTCGATGTCAATATTTTCGTTTAAGACAACAGCTGAGTTGCTTCAAAGTGAAGAAAACACATTGAACAGGGCCGTATTTAAAATATTTGGACTGCAAGTCCATATTCGATTTAAGCAACCTGTGCTGTGTCTTCGAATTTTTAGTATCTGTCTTTTTTACCTTAAAGAGCAGTTGAAATTAATCACTTTCAGTGAAATTATTTCAGTGAATCCTGGATGGTCCTTAAATTAAGCTAGAAAACACTTACATCTTGAACTTTTGAAATTCCCTTTTCCCAAAATTATTTACTTATTTATGCACGAAAATGAGATTATCCGGTGCTCTTTGCTGCTAAATCGTGTTTTAGGTATCAACAATACATAACTCCACATGCAAACTTGTCGCTAAGCACAGAACATACCCCCATAGGGGGGATATTTTGTGTCGCTAAGATGCATAATAATTGTGTATTTCGGCATTTCAACACAATGCGGTGTTGCCACGAATTTTTGTCTATTTCCTTTCGGTTAATTTTGAGTTAGTTTGTTTGTTAGTATTGGTTGAAGTAATATTGTTTTAATGAAACAAAAAAAATGCAAAAAGTGAAAATTAATAACCTTAAAATACCTAAATAATTTAAACCGACTCTAATCGAATCTACAAGCTAAATAGGTATCCAAAGAAACAATTTTCATTAACTTAAAACGTTTTGCGTAGTTTGGCAACACAGCTCAAAACTTAGATTCAAAATGATGATTTTCCTCAAACAAAACTGCTTAATTTAAAGTGTTCTTTAAAGTAAAACAAGATAAGACAAACAATTCTGAAGAACACGACCACCAGAATATCAAGCCAATGAAGACTAAAATTCGCTTTAGAACTGAAGCGATATACGAACACTCTAATTTGACTGATTCTGATTACTTTTGCCATTCGAATCTACAGGGTGTTTTATACAGGGTTTGTATTATATTTTATAAGG